TTAAGGAGATTTGCTTTAGCATACCTCGCTTCATCTTCTTCTTTTCTTTTTTTCTACTCATTTTATTTGTTCTTTCGATTGAGATAGTCGAATTTCCGACAACAATATATACCTTCAGTTTATCTATACCTAAACGGAAGCAACAAGAATTCTGAGAATTTCAACAAACACAAGCAACTAATATTTATTACTTTCAGTCATTCCCTCACCACACAAGATTTATATAATTGAAAGGGCGAAAATTCTCATCTTGCTCATAACAAAATGAATCGGTAGATAAAAACATATACCCTACTGTACTTAAGAAATAGAACCGAAGCATCAAAATACTAAATAAAAGGGTCTAAAGAGAAATGATCAAAACTCGGTAAAACTCATGTGTAGATCGATCAAAACCAGTTATATACACATATATACATGAATTTCATTTCATTGAAACCAGTATTCAAAAACATGAAGTGGTTCATACCAGGGTGCGTAAAACTCGACCAAAGCGCCTCGATCTTGACCCACCTCTTTCTCGAAGTTGTCCTCAGTGAGTCCTACGACATTTTCCGCAAAAGCCGACTCAGACAAGAACAACGCTTGATGTATAAAAAAAGGATGAACCGCATCCTAGACGGCCCCCACCTGCCATGCCTTGGGCATTGGAGAAGGAGGTAAATCGCAAGTTATGCCTCCAAGGGTATAGGGTGGAAGACTGCTTGTACACTTGCACTTACCCAAGAGCGAAATCCATATTTCAAGATTCGAACCCTTGACGTGGCAGCCTCAAGCAAAGCTGGAGTTTTTCCACCTTCCCCTTTTATCACTTGGAGATGTGCCCTGGGGGCAACGCTTGATGTATAAATGGGAGGGAAAATGGAGAACAAAGTAAGTAAAGAGATATCGTGTGATGTACAATTAAATGGAGAATGGTGTAAGTAAAGAGGAATGAGAGATTGTGTGTAGAAATGGTGAATGACCGTCACAAAAAAAAAAAGAAATAAATTGGAGGTGGACCATAGGCAGAAATAAGTAATAATAATTAATAATAAATAAATAAATACTTAATTGAATGTTGATGAAAGAAAAATGATGACATGTGTCCTGGATGAATAGTGATTTCTCTTGTAGTGTTTGATTGTCATGAAAAATATATTTTAGAAAAGAAAATATTTTCCTTATTATGAGGAAAACAAAAATCTAATCTCCTAAAGAAAATGTCCTTAAAAACAAGGAAAATTAAGCATATTTTTAAAAGTTGGAAAATATTTTTCATGGAAAGAAATAACAATCAAACATTTCAAAGTAAGAATTTGAGTGAAAAATTGATATTTTTCATGAAAAATAAATGAAATCAAACACACCTAGTCTCTTTATATCGCAGGGAAATGAAGTAATAAGGATATGAAATAATATTATAAGTAAACAGTTATTTATTTGGGCAACAAATTTAAAAGGTTGTTTTCAAAATAAGAAAATTAATTATATTTCACTTATTATTTATTGCATTATGTTGTTTGGGATTGCTTAAATAAATTTGGTCACACATCTAATATAAGCTTATTTGCTAACAGTGTGATAAAAGGGGATGAAGTCCTCAACGAGTGCCATTTGTGCCAAGACTTCACCTTATCCTTTTCAGTCTTCATCTTGCAAACCACCACAAATACTCTGACTTCACCTTATCCTCTTCATCTTGCAAGCCACCACAAATATCACCTTATCCTCTTCATCTTGCAAGCCACCACAAATATCACCTTATCCTCTTCATCTTGCAA